TGAAAAAAACGAAAAAAAAAACAATGATTTCCACTCATTGTACCAACTAAATACAGGGTGTCCATAAAGTTCGTGTGCACTTTAAAAAATTTGTAACTTTTTAGTATTTGCGATGGAAATAATCTGTAAAAAAATGTTATAATACAATGTTTCAACAAGATGGCGCTCCTTGTCACTTTGCTCTGCGTGTTAGAGAGTTTCTAAATCAGGAATTTCCAAACAGATGGATCGGAAGGGGTGGACCATTTTAAGGCCTCCATGTTCACCAGATTTGACTCCATTAGATTTGTTTTTATGGGGACATGTGAAAACAATTGTGTGTGCAACCAAACCTAGTTCATTAGAAGATTTGAAAGCTAAAATAACTAATGTGATTTCAGGCATTACTGTAAATCAGTTGGCAAATGTTTTCCGTGAATTGCAAAATCGTATTACCCTTTGTATTGCTAATGATGACGGACATGTGGAAACTTAAATAAAATTTCAATAAACCCTTAAAAAAATATAGATTTCTAATCCTTTTTAAAAATTATTTCTATCGCAAATACAAATAAAGTTATAAATTTTTAAAAATGCACACGAACTTTATGGACACCCTGTACAACTGATATACATAAATACTTACGTACGTAATATATATATATATATATATATATATATATATATATATATATATATATATATCAAAAAGACATATCATAGCGTACCCACACGTGTCTCCATCTCAGTTTATCATTTGACAATCATAGAGGTGTGAAACGGGCAAATTTAATCTAAATAAATATTCTTAAACAGTCCAGTTGCATTTTCAAATTATTTTCCTATATATTTTTACCTGTATGGGATGTATACAAAAAACTTACTTTCTAATATATATATATATATATGTGTGTGTGTGTGTGTATGTGTGTGTGTGTGTGTATGTATATATATATGTGTGTGTGTGTGTATATATGTGTATATATATATATATATATATATATATATATATATATATATATACATATCCTGGTTAAAGTAATTTCAACGGAATTGGTAAGCGTGGTTGCTAAGATATTTTGTACGATCATTCTCTGACGAAGCTTTAATGAAAGGGAAACATGTTTGGTTGATAAACGTTTCCTATTTGTTCTTTAACTTATCATATATATATATATATATATATATATATATATATATATATATATATATATATATATGTATGTATGTATGTATGTATATATATATATATATATAAAAATATATATATATATATATATATATATATATATATATATATACATACAT